TAGTCTATAATATAGTCATTTTCCGTCATAAATGCTTATCTGCTGGTGTGTACAAGTACGCCTCGTCAATGAGGAATACACACCAGACCTTCTCATCCACAGGGGGGATATTGAACAGCCAGGCGGTGGCTGATGAGACGTAGGTGGGTTTTACAGATGAAGACGCTGCCTTTGCTGCCTCGTGCATCATTAATGCTCTCTTATTAAATTTCACTTTTTTTGTCATTATGTGGATTACATTTGATCTTGTTCACTACTCAGTTCTTTATGAGGATGGACAGTCTCCGCAATACATGCCGAAGATCATTAAGACCTCTTTTTTATCATGCTGTTCCAGTTGTAATGGCTCACTAAGCAAAAAAAAAAGGTACTTCCCATTACATGTAGAAGTAGTGATCACACAGAGAAGACTTTTTACAGGTGCTTAGTATCATCAGCACCATGCAGTTAGCAGCAGATATATTCATCATTCACAACAAGGACTAGAGTTTATATGGATGTCTCACTTGTTGAGTGTTGGCTTTACTGGATTGCTGGAGATTTAAATATGCTTGAATATCATTTGAATCTGTGAGAAACGAGCCTCACTTTCAAATCCATTTCAGGAAATGAATTGTGCGCTGTATATCCCATGCTTTACCATCAATATACTATAAATGATCTGAAACTCAAACAAGGCAGACTTGCAAGTTTGTCTTTGTGAAACTTGAAACGTACAAGAGGCCTAACAATTGTGCTTGTAAAGGATGGCACTAAATTGCTCACTTGCAGGAATTTGCCCTCTGTTCATTCTAACTTTCGGGTTTGTTTCCCTTGTGGCAGGACAAACACATCCCTTGAGAAAGATCTATCAGCCAAGCAAGAAATATTTAAACAGAACAGCATGGAATCACCACCACACATTTCACCAAGGTTAAAAAGCAGTTTCTCTGTGTGTATATCTGCAGATACGGGGGATAGTTAATGACAAAGAAAAACAAAAAGGCAACCGTTTTAATGAACAAATAGATGCCTTTGGCATTCACAGGCTCTTAGTAGTCTTATTTAAACTGAGCAGTGATGAGAATGATCTACTGTTATAGCAAATCTTCTATACGACGAACACACTGAGAGCTCAAGGATTACCAGGCATTGTCTTAATTGATCTCATTATCTTCTTCCTGCTCTTCTGTAAGGGCTGTCATTCTCAAGTGAATCTAGCTATAGCTTTGGAATGACTGCAATTTGGTGTGAAGCATTATTGTCAATGTTTTGTATTTTTTCTTTTAATTAAGGTTGGTTCTGGGGAATAATGGTGAATAGCTGGGAAGACTCGAATAACTGTCATACTGTGACCTCACTGCAATGTAAACCAGTAGAGGGAACAATATTAGGCATCTGTTTACTGATCTGAAGAATTAGCACTGTATATGTGATGTAAAGCCCTACGTGGTTCAAGAGGGGGCTGTTCAAAATCGATTTAAACTAATAAGTGATGTCTCTCGGGGCGGTATCGGCTGGGCTAAAGAGTAGACATTCAAATTAAAAAAAAATCAAGGGGAGAATTAGAAGTGAGCTTACAACATTTCTGTAGCCCAGAGCTGTGTTAGCTGCTTCTAATCTTCGATTGAACCATCACACCCATCATTGAATATTGTATTGTGGGGATGTAGGTATCAGACTTTAAGAAGGTAGGAAGAAAATGCATGGAATAAAGATTTATATATATTTTCTTACATAGAAATGTTGCATTTTTGATCGTTCAGAGATTGAGAATCTTGTAATCATTCGAGTTATTTTAAAAAATGCCACACTTAGTTATTTCAGGATTGTTAAATGTGAAGACTTGCTGCTTCATACATTCTATGCAATGTAAACAAAATGTAAAAAGCAGGCTTATTGACTGATGCAAAAGTCCATTTAAAAAATCGTTACTATTTGCGCGCAAAGATCTTTAAGTGAACAGTCACACAGCCTCACTTGTGCTTTGCAGGATCTCTGTAGCAGTAAATAGCACTTCTCACAGCTGCTGCTCATCCTTACTGTATGATGGGCTACTTGAACGCGGAGGTAAAAAAACCTTTTGCAATAACTACAGTCTATAGTTGCGTGAGATTTGACCTTCAGATAATAAATGGCATTTGAAACTAGGTTCACAGCATGTAGAAGACTCATTAGGGATATCGCTATAAATATAAAACGTATATTTTTTTTCTACAATACATGTTTTTAATGTATGCAAACATACACGAAGTGTTGTTTGGTTTAGCTAGAAAACAAAAGACTGAGCACTAAATATTATGACCCCCACCCCACAGGCCAAAAGTTTGCCTATACACAGTGGGCATTTCTAAGAACCCTTGCCCTGCCACCACTGAGATTTTTGGTTGCTTTGTTTTATTTGCACTAGTGTGCAGAAAGCATTTAGGTCATTTTGAAACACACTGGTATTCCTGCTATGTATTTGTATTCTTTTTTTATTTTAGCCAATTGTTATCCTGTTTATGTTTATGTATATAACTTTGAAAGCTGCCAGTAAGTAAATCGTGTTTTTCCAAGTCTACACATAAATGTCATATCATCTTGCATTTAATTTGCCTGCAGTATTTGAGTATAGCGTTACCTTTATCGTTGATATTGTTGGAAATGTTCTGCTCTTTGATGGAGCTCACAAAAAATATTCATAGCAACAAAGATGATGGTCGAGAATAGAACCTTCTCTACACACAAAATGATCCTGTGTATTTGTAAAATCAACAACACCAAACGTTTGGCTAATAAGGAGGATGAAGGTGTCAGTAGAAAGTAACAATCAAACGTCGTCAGATCATCGGTTTCATGCTGGTTCACTATTCCAGCATGAAAGTGATATTATCATAGACTCGATTATTAAAAATGGATGTAACGGCTGTTGGTTTTTAGAGCCATTTTTTGAAGTCTTGGATGCATTATTGCATTGTTTCCATTGGCATCTGTAACCAGAAGTGACAAGAGGATGGAGTGCCAGAAGTTATCAGATACAGTAATGCTATAGCAAAATTGGTTAGTAAATTGTATCCATGGACTTGAGGGGTGCATCCCATGGAGACAGAGACCTGAGGGGGTATATTATGAAGAACGTTCACTAGTGTTTCTTTGCATTAGCTAGCTAGACAAAATGTGAAACCCCAGTCAGAGGTGACAAGTATCATGATGGTGGTTATCAGCATCCTCTGTTAAACCAGACTTTCTGCATTAGGCTCGCTGCATGCTTCCATTGAGGATCACCTACTCTAATCAGAGACATCATCACACTGATGAATAATAAAGATCTATGAACATTATAAAGATATATAGTGAGCATTAAAATGCAAAACTGGTGCTGAAAATAAGACAAAAAAGTAATGCTGCAGATGATCATTAATCTTCTGATTCCACAATCATTACAAACACGCTGAGCAGGAAGAAAAAAAACATTGACTTGTGTTTATTTTACCACTCTGTGCACACTCGCTGCTGCTGGGGGTTTTTTTTCTAACAGGAAAGCTGCACAATAGAGCTTCGAAAATTATGATACATTTAAGGATTAAATGTTAGTCGGTGGAAAGGAGATGTGGAAATCCCTTTAGTTTATTAATGCAAAATTAATTTTCATGATTGAAAATTACTGGTGATAAAAAAAATCTACTAATCATCTTTCTAATCAGAGCTTCAACAGCTGCAGTTTATGCAGTTTATGCATCTATAACATGCATTCCAGAAAATTCCTGATCATCCAGCCCCCTTTAAACCAAAATACTAAACACCGTCTACTGAGAGCCAGTTTGAGTTGAGCACGTACTACCATGGTGATTATCAAGGTAAAAAAAGTGACACTTTTGTGAAAACTCTGACCTTAAGCTCAACAGTCTTGGCTAACCTAATCTCCATTCATAGTACACCTCTCTGCTGATTTGTACAAAATAAAAATAAAAAATAAAAAAAACACCAAAAGTGAAGCACAGACTTTTTGGTCCAGCTTTCATTATAATGAAGACACAGCACAAGCCTTGTTATTTGTCAGATATTATATTGTCAGATAATAATAAGGCTTGCTGGCACCAATGCACCAACACCACAAACACTATCAACACGTTGTCACCAGTTAGCTGAGGTGAAGGCTAGCAGATTTAGAGTGGCCTAATCAACACCCACCTGTCCCTCAAAACAGCCACACGCCAAAATGGCTAAATGGCCTGTATTTATATAGCGCTTTACTAATTCCTAAGGACCCCAAAGCGCTTCACATATCCAGTCATCCACGCACACATTCACACACTGGTGATGGCAACTACATTGTAGCCACAGCCACCCTGGGGCGCACTGACAGAGGCGAGGCTGCCGGACACTGGCGCCACCAGGCCCTCTGACCACCACCAGTAGGCAACGGGTGAAGTGTCTCGCCCAAGGACACAACAACCGAGACTGTCGGAGCCGGGGCTTGAACCGGCAACCTTCCGATTACAAGGCGAACTCCCAACTCTTGAGCCACGATCGCCCCTAAAGGTGATTGAATTTACTAAAGAGAAGTAAATTAAATCCTTAGTAAAATATAAACAGATGAGTTAAAAAAAAAACAAACAGAAAAAAAATCATTCGTTATTGTCAAGGGAGAAATCAACTCAAGCAATGAAAATTATTTGGTGGCAGGTTGTAAAAGCATATATTAGCTGTATTTTAACATTGGAATCTACAGGGACTGATCCGCTTTCAGAGCCAGCCTCGAGTGGCCTTTCAAGAACATACATGTTTTTCACACTTTCATGTTTTACCCCTGGTGATTGCTCTTTGAATGTTATTGGTCATCTTGTAGAAAAGCTGTAGCCAAGTTTTTCATTGCTGCTTCATCATCAACTTTCAGCCCATCAGCTGCTTTATCTAGTAGAAAATCAGCCAATGGATTCTTAACTTGGGGTAAACCAGGATTGAGGCAGCAGCAAAAAAGTTTATAATAATAGTAATATTAAGAGTATGTGTGTGTTTCTTTCTTTTTCACCTGACAGGACACTGAAATTCTCAACACGGCTGTGCTCACTGGGCGTACTGTCGCTGTTCCGCTGAAGGTCGTCACTGTAGGGACGGATGGTGCGGTCTCTGATGTTACAGAGTCAGTGGAGTGCAAGTCAACAGATGAACAGGTTATCAAGGTTCGTGCAACATGAATTCTTTTTTTCCACTTTATCTCATCCTTAATGCTCAGCTTTCTAGTGGCATGCAGGTACGTTAACAGGAAGAATAACACTTCTGTTTGCGGGCTTCAAGAGTTTTTCGCACAGTGAAATCAAAATGAAGGTGCTCGTTTTCTTCTAGCAAAACATCAAAACATGTACCAAAATACATTAGTTTAATGGCAAGGGAAAAACAGAAAGCTGTTTGAAAAAGTCAGGTTTAAATCACAGAAACCCTAGAAGGGGGGAGGGGGGGGTGGGTGGTGGTATCCTTTTCTCGTGCTCCAGTTCGCCACCATGAAGTGCAGCTTGGCAGCTTTTTTGTGTAATCTTGGTGAGAAACAGACAAAAAAAACACTGATTACATACTCTATACTCTGCTCTTGTTTTAAAGGAGGAATAATTAACAATCATCATGCTGAAAGAGAGTCTGTATCCATACCACTTATATATTACATAACACCATCAAACTGTCAAGGTGACAAACTGCTCACCATGTCTGAATATAGCAAGTTTTAAATCTCTGTAAGTTGATTTTCATTGGCTTTTAGAGGTCTTACATAATTAATCTGAAACCTTACTGAATTTTTGGGAAGTGCTGCAAAGGATTTATTGTTAACATAAAATAAGGAAATAATTGTGAGCTGTTTACCGCCACAGCAGATTTATTATCCGTCTCTGCGGCGTTATGTGAAAGGAGAAGCAAGAAAAATATAACTGGGGAAAAATAAGAAAAATAAAAGTGTTTATTCTTGATTGTGAGTAGGCGTGATAAAAAAAGAACAGTGCTACAAGTGTGTTGTGTTTACTATACATGCATATCAGATAGAAGAAAAGAGGGAGATCTCTCAAAGGGTTTAATTATCAACTGAAGTAGTACCACATATTGTGACGCTGACCTCAGTAGTCTACTCCCCTGCCCGCTCGTCGGGTTTGAGAACAGTAAGCAGTACCCATCTTTTCTTCATGCTATTTTCAAAGGCATCTCAAGATAAAACAGCTTTATTTTTCCCCACTTCACTGTTTCTTTGAGACTTTGAAGTTAAATCCTTCTTTTCTTTATGTTATATGTAGACAAAAAGGAGGACCCCAATGCAGACACAATCTAAGTTAAGCAAACAAAAGATGAGCTTTATTTCACTAAGCTGATACTTCAAAAATAAAGTCCAAATGGTGATAAGTAATCCAGATACAATACACAGGGTAAATGATCTAAAGTTGATTGCAGCAAAGTGATGAGCAAAAAAGGGAAGCAGAGGAAGGCACAACGTGCTATAAAAGGAGAGCACAGGTGAAACATGAGCAAAGGGCACTTCTCTGACAAAGATAAGTGGAAGAGCAAGGCAAAGGCAACTGATGAACACAATAAGGGCAGAGCAGATAATTACAAGGGACAAAGATAGGGAGTAAAACAACAAAAGAAGCCCAAGGAAATGTAGTTACCAAAAGAAACCCAAAGTGACAACAGTGACACAAACATAGGGTCATTAAAGACAGGAAACTGGTAAACACTGGGAAACATAAGAGAGTTATATACTTGTAGTGATTAAAAACACCCATGGTGAGCACTGAGGCCTTGATCCTGCTCTTACAAACTTCCAGTCAGGAAATCATGCAGGGACGAGTCCAGAATAAATGGGACAAGTGATCAAAATCATCCAAAATGTATACAATTTTATTATTTCAGAGAGTTTGCAATCAAATTAGACTATCATAATAAAAGACCACTAATGATCCATAATGTACCTTTAATGGTGCAGCTCGTCAGCAGTGTAGCAATCACATGATAACTCGCTTTCACCAACAGGAAACTTACAGGTGCTTTTTTTTTTTTTTTTTTTTTTTTTTTTTTTAACCAAATCCACCCCAAAAAAATACGATCCCACAGGGGTGCTTATTACATGCACTAAGTGTACCCCTAAGAAATAATTGATACCACTGCAACCAAGTTATAATAGACACAGCAAATCAGTTTGCCACACACCTATGCAAGGCCTGATTCCTGTGAGGCGTTAACCCCAACTCAGGGACTGCACATTGCCCGACTGCACATTGCCCGACTAACATTGCGCCTGGCCCAGTTAACATAAAAACAAACCCAAGTTTTAAAATACATCAAACTAGGAAGAAAATAGTGGAGCGACACAACCAGATGTGCAGCCCGTCCTGCAAGACACGAAAAAGTGTAAGTAGCCTGTCAGTGCATAAATAAAACATTGTTTTCTGCCTAACATTATATTCAAATACAATACCTTCAACAGACTGCTGTGCTTACTGCACTACATGATTAATGCCATGTTAATCATGACTAAAAAAACAAAATGCAATAATCATATACATTTTTATGAACTTCAGCAAAAAAGTTACATTTACAAAAAAAATTCAGTCTATAGTTTGAATCTCTACTGAAGGGCAGTATGATCACAATATGCTTAAATAGCAACTAGATCTTCTAGTGGGAAGAAATTTTATACCAACTGACTTCTGCAGCTGTGGTACTTGAATGCAGTGAGCTCTTGCTTTACAGATGCTGCATGCATGATTAGGAGCTTGATTTTACCTGTGAAAATAGGACTGAAAACACCTGAGGTTTAAAATGGACCAATACCTTTGTCCATGTAGTGTAACTTCCAGCCTCAATCACAGCAAGTACTCTTCTTTACACTTCACATATAATAATACTGTGTTGAAGTTCACCCAGTCATCTGGCTTGCTCTCGACATTTATAGCGTGGTGTATTTAAGAGTGTTTCAATAGCAATCCAGACACAAACTGCCATTGAACCCATTTTAAAATGCTCATTGTTTCCAAATCCTGTGAGCCCCCTCATATAAGTCACAGCTTTAGAATGGGGAAAAAGACAATAGATCCATCATTGCTGTACTGCACTGCAAGTTTTTATTTTCTGATGATTACTTTCTGATTTAAAGTGTTGCGCTACAGTTTCTCCTTGTATCCCAATAATGTAGAACACTTGACGGATCCAGTAAACCACTAAGCTTTAGCTCTTTAGGTTTTAGGAACTTTTAGAAATTTTGCAACCCCCAAAGCATAGTACTTCATAAATGTTAAATACAGTGCTCTCTCATGAGTCGGTTTTAGTCAGGTTAGTCAGACAGAATTATTTCAGTCAGTAACTCTCATGTGTACCCTGCTGTAACAGTAAGAAAACAGTTGTTTTTACTTTTCTTTTCATTATGATGTCACAGTGAAGTTAACCTATAAAATGTTATTAGATCCTATTAGTATGATGCAGTGTTTAGTGTGCTTGAATAGGTGGAAATAACAAAAAATGCTACCAAAGCAAACCAAGAATAAAAGCAAAAGAGCAAAAGTTTTTCTCCCTTAAAACACAGATGCAATCCTTGGCATGTTTTGTTTTCTGTCACGTTTGGATCTGTTCCATCATATTTTGTTCAATATCTAGTGTGTTTTATGTACTTTTGCAGTGCATGGTAGACATTTGTATGAGGTTTATCATAATTTTGCAAGTGAATTATTCGGTTAATGCCAAAAAAGTGCTGTGTAAAGTCACCGTGACCTTGGTCTTTTGCCACTAAGTTTAATCAGATCATTCTTGAGAACTTTGCAGTCTTTAAGTTCTGTTTAAGTATTATTTAAGAAATACCACGTTTGCTAGAATTAGACAAACAGATGGATGGACAGATGGGCAATCTGAAAACATTATGTCTTAAGCATTGAGGCATAATAAAAGAGCAAAAAAAAGTGAGACTAAAAAATGCAGAAGTAGATAGATTTAGTTTACTCTCTGGATGGTTGCCTTCCATACTTTAAAATCACAAGAACAAAGAAATTATCCTTGTGTGAGTTTTGTGACTGTATGCAATCCAGTATCAGCCTTGCATTCCTTGGTTTGCACTCGTTAAGACAAATAATTTGGAAACTTTAAATGAAAATGAATTGCATTCATACCGCTTTACATTTCCATTTAGCATACATCGAGGTGAAACCCTAAACTTTCCCTCATATCTAAGAATCCTCCTTTCAGAGTTCCAACCTGTTCTCATTACAGGAAGACGAAATATGTAGGAGGTGCAGTAATGCTGGAGAAGGCTGAGGGTGAGAGCGAAGGAGTGGGAGAGAAAGAGAAAAGGGAAATGAAAGGGAGGAGGAGGAGAAAACTGACAGACAGCAAGCTGTCACTTTTGTTCCTCAGAGAGAGGGCTTGGTTTGACATCATTTGAGAGTAAAGCTGCCAAGTTATATGCAAAGAAGTGGCGACAGATGACAGTCTTCTTGTGACTGGTTTGTTATAAAGAAGCAATTGTCAGTATTGAGGACATGTGTTGAAATTACCAGTTGTGCCAATCAAGCTTATATGGTATTTGAGAGTGGGGGAAAAAATGAAATGCAAGTGATTACAAACAAAATTCAATGACAGACTGTTAAATACATTTGTTCGTCAAGGGGGAAATGTTTGATAAGGAGATTCTGGGGCTTTGGAGATAATGACAGATACTTCTGATGTTCATGCTGTATCAGTTCTTTATGTTGGAGATGTATTAGAGTAAGTGGTGTACTTTATCCAGACACTTCATAATTTGTTTTGAGCAAGTGTTTTTCTCTCTGGCTAGATGAATTAGGTTTGTGTCATTTCGTAGCTCCATCTGTTAAGTTGGACCAAAGTCACATAAATTGTGCACATACTATGCTTCACACACAGGCATGCATTAAGAATAGAGCGGTTCTGAAACAAACACAAACACACACTGAAAAGAAACTGGAAGAAATTGAGTAATCCAAGCACTTAAATCTTTTTCAAAGCAGCCTAAATGATCAGATTTACTTACTATGCAAGAAAAAAGGTGAAATAGAGCAACTTTACTTCTACAGTGGATTTTTGTATCTGCTTATTTATTCTTATTTTTTCCCGGTTAGATTGTTTTGGCAATCAGATTCTAGAGTACTTTGCAATCTTTAAGTCATGTTTAAGTATTCTTTAAGAAATAACATGTTTATTAGAGTTGCACAGACAGATGGATGGACAGATGGGCAATATGAAAACATTATGTCTAATTATGCTTTATTATTTATTCCTATTTTATTTTATTATTTTGTTGTTGTTGTTGTTTTTTGGCAGTGAGATTGTTCTTGAGTACTTTGCAATCTTTAAGTCATGTAAATTGTTTTGGCAATGGCAAACTCAATGTGCTTAACACAGAAGAACATAAAAACCTGTGTAGGTTTACAATGCCAAAGGCAGTGAAAACATGTGCTGAGTGTAGGCCTGTGTTAATAAAAAGGTTTCTAGTCTGTTTTTAATGTATGCACAGATGTAATTGATTTCAGGTCAGCAGGCAGCTTGTTCCGAAGAACAGGACAGCAATAACTGAAAGCACCTTCATCACGCTTAGATCTAATTATAGGAACCGTTTAAAGATCTGCCCTGATGACTTGAGAGATCTGACTGAACTGTAGATAGTGTGTTTGCATCTTATCTTCCTCTCACAGCAATTTTTCCTTTATTCTTTAGGTGTCAGAGCGCTGTGACTATGTGTATGTCAATGGAAAGGAGACAAGAGGAAAAAACAGGGTGATGCTTAACTTCACCTATAGTTTTCTGAATGCACAACTCGAGATGAGCGTATGGATGCCCCGCCTGCCCTTGCTAATTGATGTGGCTGACCCTGAGCTCAGTCAGATTAAGGGTTGGAAGGTCCCTGTTAGTATGGGCAATAGGAGGTAAGTCATGACTGTCTGTTGTGTCTATGTTGTTGCATGTTGTAATAAAAAAAAACACATCATCACTTTCATCACTTCAGAAACTGACTCCGATGGGCCGAGGGGGCTTTATCCCACATCTGTATATCACAAGAAAAGTTGGCAACTTAAAAAAATCACAAGAATCAAAAATCTAAATTTCTCTGTGTAGGTCATAAACCTGAGAAGTTCTTAACAATCCCTTTATGACAATCATATTTTTCATTTGGTTAAAAAAATAAAAAAATAAAAATGGAGACCACGTGAAATTGGCTCAGTAATGATGGTGCAGACATATGAAGCATAATGCAAGTGCAGCTGCATAATAAGTGTCTAATAATTCACTGGACTGGTCTACAGGGGGAAAAAGTACTTATACTGAATAAGGAATGACTAATAATTTTGAGCATTACAGAGCTTGAGCATATTCCTGAGGGTGTAAAGAGATATAGTGTACAATGATCTGTGCAGTGCAGCGTGAGTTGTACAAGATGATCCTAATAAAAATATTTAAATTAATGATCTTTCTGCTAATATGATTTCTGCTGATTAAAATAGAACCAACCCTTTTCAATATCAAAGATCAGTGAAGCACAGTGACAAATTTACATTTAATAATAGCTTTTATAATTATGATTTACTGTGATCATATTTATAGTGACTATGTTGAAGAAACAATAGAGCACTGTTGTGTTTATAAAGTGAACAAGATTTAGATTGTTCCCTGCGCCCCAGTGTTTACCATCTTTGTCTTTGAGCCAAGATATACATTCATGAATTATACTGTGGAATGAAAGCAGCGGTTACATGAGCTAGCAGATGACATACACGTCATGATTTGTTGCAGTGAGTAATGAGTGATAGAATCAGTCGTCACAGTTAGAGCCCCAGTTTGCTGTGAAACTCAATGTGCTTAACACAGAAGAACTTACCTTACCTATTCTGATGCTTTCAGAATAGGTAAGGTAAGTTTTAAAGATTATATGGATATCGGTATTGTCACCTTGGATGGAAGGGTCAGCCCAAATCAGTCTGTGTGGTTTGATATGATGTAGGTCATATGGCATGGCTTTCATAGGCACCAACTCAACCATCAGGACACTCATGGTGTTGGCCCAACTTCTTATGAAGACAGTTTTTTAAAATTTGTTCTTTTTTCAGTAATAGTGACGCCGCTTTCAAAATGGCCATGTTTACTATTTTTGAACTGGAAAACATGTTATGTAGTATATAATGATGAAATATGTCAAAATAATGTCATTCATTATTGCAACAGGGGTAGTTATGGTGTATATATCATGTGTACAAACACTTTTTAATTTATATTTATGGGGGTTTTTTGTTTTGTTTTTTTTGTTTTTTGCCTGTCCCATTTGGTTCTTTAGCCGTCAGAATTGTTGTCTGAAGACCAACAAGGATACGCAATGGATTTATTTTGCCAAATGGATCATCGTGGCATTGCCGTATTGGTCCATTTGATCGACCTTTGTTTTTATTTTTTATTTTATTTTCAGTTGTTACAGACGGGACAGACATGAGTGAGGGATAGGAAAGGGAGAAAGAAAGAGGAAGGAAAAGAAAAACAGAAGGGAAGAGGGACAGTGAGAAAGGGGAGGAGAAAAAAAAATCTCCTGGATCACCTGTTGAGAGAGAAAGAATAGAAAACAAGCAAAAAAAAACCAAAGCAATATACTAAACACAACATCATCGCATTAATCTAGCTAAGTGTAAACAGCAGTAAATACTAAATATTCAATGTTGTTGTGCAGCACGCGGGACAGACAGCGCACAATGTGCTTTGAAGTAGCAGCCAAGAAAGGTGTAATTTAAGTCTACGAACAGTGAACACCCGTGTGCACACCTGTGTGGATCAGCGCGCTTGTATTCAAATGGTTTCCACATGTAATGGTCTGCAAGAGGATGTAGAGAGCCATAGCCCTGTCCCCCAGGGCATGAAGCAGGCATGGAGGAGATCCAGGCCCCAGACATCCAGAGGCCCCAGAGTGCGAGAGCCCAAGGAGGACCACCGGAGGGGCATCCGTGCCACCCTCATGGGAAGGGCTGAGGATCCCCAGACAAGGCGTCACCCAGTAGCCACCGAGCAGAAGCTAGAGGGGGCTGCACCGGCGTGCCCGCCGGCTCTGCCGGCAGCCAGCTGTGCCAGAGTGAACCAAGCTGCAGGCCCAGAGGCCGGAGGCCTGAGGGCCACCCGCACCCCGGAGGAGGCCTGACCGAGCAACAGGCGCCAGGCCCCGCCAAGTAGCCACCGGGAGTGAGCTGGTACATACCTGAGTGCCCAGCCCCGGACACCAAGAACCACAAATGCACCGACCCCTGAGGGCATCAGTCACCGGCAGGGAGTGTGGTGAGGGGAGATAGGCCTTGGAGGGCTATATTTATGTTTTCAATTAAAGAAAGCACTGTAAATGCTAACTACGGAGTCTTAGAGATTATTTCAACTCAGAAATACCTCACATTTCCTCACGTTAGCGTACCACCCACAGGGTGGCACTCTAACACAAATGCCCCCTGCTACCTAAGCAAGATCACATCAATCATTTCTTTCAAGCGCATCACTGTGTGAAGAACGTGTGTTATGTGTACTTTAACAGGGGTGGCACTGGTTTATTAATGCTTTCATGGGTCAGTGTGCTTATGTGTACATTGACAAAAGTGCTATGGCTGACCTCTCACTTCCTGCAACAAACATGTCCTGACCTCCTGTTTCTGATGCCAGCAAATAGTGTCACCTTGGTTTAAAGTGCCATCCTTTTGCTGATGTGGAATAAGAACCTGGGAGGGGATGGGGAAGGCAGGTTATAACTAAGCCAAGCCATTGGGCCACATCATGTTAACCTGTCAGCCCGTTTTCCTGCCAGACCGGCCATACTTCATTAAACCTAATGGGAACTGTCACTGTCACTCCACCCCCGGCCACCTGACCGGTAAAAAGAGGCAGGCAGAGCTTGAAAGAATAAGACAATATGAGGTGAGAGCAAGGAGAAGAGGGAGAGAAAAGCAGAGGAAGAAAGTTGGAAAAATAGATTACAAGGAAGTCCAATAACAAGTTTATGTTGAGAATATAGAATGAGGCAGACACACAGTGTGAGAGCGATGATGATGGCATAGCACAGGACGAAAAAAGAGAGAAGAAAAACAGATTTATAGGTGAGTGATATATACTAATGGAATATAAAGTGGAGATGGATGAGAATAATGTGTGTGTCTTGTGCCTTAACAGGAATGGTAAAACATACCAATAAGAAAATACAGCACAGACAGGCCAGTGGGATATTTACAGTATTTTAGAAATGTACATTTTTATTATTACAACAGCATTTCCAGTTGGTGTGTAAAAAAAATCCTTTGCAAATGATTTAAACACTGCAATTAATTCAGAAAACAGAAGACAACAAGTAGCACAAAGGCACAAAGTTCAAATAGGGGCATGTTTACCACTGTGTTGCATTGCATTTTTTAAAATACTGTAAGCATTTGGGTCCATTTTTGTTTCATATGTGATAAAAATTCAAGAGAGCTCATATTTCTCATTCTACTTATTATAAATGGGTGACGGGTATAGACAGCAGGCAAGTTTAATATCCAAACACTTTTAATTAAGGTTGGTGTAATAACAGCAGAATGTGATTTGCCATTGACCTGCTTAAATTAGCAAGGCCTTTACTGAAAAAAGATCCTCTGAATGACAGGAAATGTTGCTCCAAATGTGCAGGTTACTCATGGCATGTGAACTGATGCATGCTGGTACCATAAGGGATGCTTGACTTGTGTGTTGATAACAGGCAAGCGGTCCCTCTCGTCTTTAGCCCTGAATGGAAAAAAAGAATTTCAGGAAATGAAAATCTTTGATCCAAAAAATTGGCCGTTAGCAAACTAGGCAAGGAGGAGCTTCAGCTCTCTGCTAAACCTTTTTTCTTTGAGACTCAACCTCTTTTATAGGCCAAACAATACTGATTAAGGCAATTATTTGTGAGGTCTGGCAAGTATTGCAAATACTTGTCACTCTGAACATTTCTGGTGTTTGTATTTTGCTGCCATCTTGGGTCTGGGCTAGGTGTGCACCTATTAGCACGCAAATAAAAACTGATTTCTGTAGTTGCTACCATTAAAGGATTATTTCTCCTTCATTCTTTTCCACCATGTTCAGATTTATCTGTGGGGGGTTGGTTGGCTTCTTTTTTTAGATAAATAAAAATAAAGGGCTGTATAAGCTCCACTTAAATAGGGGCAAGAGTGTAGAACAATTGCTTTACAAATATCCAGCTGTGAGTTTAAAAACATTGATTTTTTTTAGGAAACATTTTCTGAGATGCCAAAATTGCAGAGTGTTTTCTGTGAGCCAAATAAATAGCAGGTACACAGAAAAATATCAGTTGCTCTTTTAAAGAAAATGAGAACGCAAGCCGGGTGGCAGTTTCTCTCTGCAAGCTGTTTTTAAGGGATTTTTGAAAATAATGGGAGGCTATTACTTTTGGAAAGTCAGGCGAACTTGCAGCAAAGCACACAGCAGATGATTTGACAGCAGTAAATACTTTACATCAGAGAGTTTCTACTTCATGGACACTAATGGTGACACAGAGTCCACAGAGAGCTCTCAGCGCTTTTTACCTCAAACACAGTCTGACATGGGTTTATGATATCCCTGCTCTTCAGGCTTGCCAGCAGTTGATCAGTGCTTTCCTCTTTTCATTCTTCATTAGGTATGAGAGGGTCACAGATGATAAGGATGGTGTCGATCCAGTAGAGGGGAGGACAGAGACTGCTTGTGTTGCCCAGTACCAAAGCACCACTCTGCGCATCCTCACCCACTTTGTGGCTGACATCAGCGAAAGTAGAGGAGCCATGGAGGAAGATGTACTGGGCCAGCAGACCTTCCTGCTGGGCACCGACTGGCAGGTGGATGTGACACAGTTGGTGAAGGAGTCTCTGAGGGTGGAGGACCCAAAGGTTGCCCAGCTTCTGGATGACCAAGTCGTAATCGGGCTGAGCACTGGAAACACCAAACTACAGGTTGTATTTATGCATATTTTATCACAGTTTCTAAAGCAGAAGTTGTACTGCATGTCTCTGCAGTGTGGCTGTCAGGATTGTTTTGCCATGACTGATCAGTGGGGATTTACACGTTCATCTCATAGACCTAAATTGTAACTGTCACGGAAGCTGCAGTAACTAATGCTTGAATCAGCCACCGCAATACAGTCTTTGTTGTTACTAAGGAAACATGCAGCTTTACTCGATTAAATGACCTGACTGGCTTGGTTGTTTTGGCAGCCAAACAAAAGGTCACAAGTGAGCACAATATCAGACGTATTTGAACTGATAAACTGACATAGACGCAGCAGTAAAGTAACCTGGCAAGTGGATTAGGAAAATTACAATGAGAAGTCTAAAAGCAATAAAGCAAATCCATTCATCTAGACTCTTTTAATGCAAAGTATTTTGATTAGGTTGACATTGAAGTATTAGAAATGTATGAATTAAGCAAAGCACAAGCACGATGGACCAAAACAACTGAATAGAAAAAGTCGGACCACTGTTGACTCTGGTCTTATCCGTCTTATTGTCACAGTCAATATTACCCAACAGGGTTTCAAGTTTTTTCAAGCTGAAAAGCTCCAAACTGTGCTCAGCCGCTTTGCTTTGTCAATGCGGAGCAGAATGTGGCTTTCTAGTTTGTTTATAAATGCAGGGACAGGACACACATAGAAAGCATAACTTTAATTCTCCACTAAAGATACCATTAGTCTACTACATTTTTTAAAAAGTTAATGGTCATCTGCTCCAATATTAATGTTCAAAATGTTATTTGAACTTGTAAGCCACAGATAAATAATCATCATATTATCACATTTAAGAGGCTAAGTTATTCAATTTGGGGTCATGATAGATATAAAGATAGATATCAATCAGATAGATGGATAGAAAGTAAGACAGACAGACATAAAAGGTTAACAATAAGCTGATGAACATATGGTGAAGCAGTTATGGACTGAAAGAGTCTGTGCAGAGTATGGTAGAATGTTTTTTTTAGTCTAAACGGAGTAAGATATAAAAACAACTATATTGATTGCAGCATGGAACAAACACTTAAGCCTATCATGAGTTGACAAAGAAACATGCCTTCATGGCACGTCTTGTAAAAGCTTGCACCTGTGCAGCCTCTCATTCTGTGACCCTTTCACCGTGTATCTCAGAATACTATTTATCCAATAATCCAATAAGGCGTTTCTCAGTATAGCACATGTTCTCACACACTAAATGAACATCAGTTGTTGAAGCAGTCGAATGGCGTTGTGAAACCTTCCATTTTCTTTTTAAATTCAAGGATATGTTCAATCACCTATACTACAGTATTACTCTAAATCCACATGGGTTACTATTGTGCCACCACAACAGATCCGACCTTATTTATTTCACTTGTTAGTATCGTGGCTGCTAGTAGTATGT